CATCCTGGATTCCACTGCTAGCCACTGCCCATCATTAAAAAGACAGGCAATATCGAGGCATCCGCATAGGAGCCCATATACCAATAGAGACTGATCAATTCGGTCCAATCAACGACGATGTAATACAGGCAATAACACTAAACCCATACTCATAGCACAAGAAGTGCTATCGTGGCTCGATGGTGTAGTGGACAACGCCTTGGCATTTGAAGCGATCGCTCCCGAGTCCGAATCCCGGTGGGGATCACATCACTCACTGGGAAGCAGGTACATCCAGCTGACGAGTCCCAAATAGGACAAAATGCGCATTCTGGATTCCACTGCTAGCCACTATCCATCTTTACTAATAATAATTGTCATACTTAAAAACTACTTTTGTTTTAATAACATTATTGTCAGGAATAATTGGGGATGAAACCTGCAATTTAGTTTCCACGTGTGTTTTTCTTAGGATCTTTCCTGCTCCTCCGATACCTTACTAATTTCTAATTGAATTTTCCACCAAACTTTCTACATTAGGAAGCTGAGAGTATCTGATATAACTCCTCTCGATTTTTATAAACTCTTGTATCTTGTTTGTTCCCTCTATTGTTTTCTTTTATCTTTTCCAGGGTTGATGAAAAGAGATTATGCTATATTGCATAGGACTTTGAAGAGTGTCACCAGAACTAGTGGTGTACTTCCAAACCTTTAAGTTAAAACAGTTGTAGACAAACATTTGAATTCATGTAAACAACTGATAGAGCTATTTCATCAAATGACAAGCATCCTCTTCACTCAAAGTTCTTTGCCTGTCAGTCATTTGGAAAGACAAGGAGAAAGTATATAAAACTTTATGCACTCACTACAAAATATAAAAACTCTAGCTCGTCTGCTGTAAGGTGAAGAAAGCATTAGAAATGAACTGACTAGTCAGCTTCTGTTTCTGAAAACAAACTAATTGATGATGATGATGATAAGCATGTTGCTATTGATGTACTGTAAAACTAATTGTTAATGTGATTATCCGCCTAAATTAGCTGTAGATTTCAAGAAAGTTGTAAACAGAGTGAATATTCTTTTCTTTATTTAACGTAATTTATACTTATTCATGTTGATATGTATACATATACTTGTCTCTGTTCACTTGATGCTACATGACATGCTGATAATTCTGTAGAGTATTCTTGAAATAGCTTTCAGAATAAAGTCATTATTATTATTATTATTATGTGGTTACATTGTATATATTATATTATTATATATAATTTCATACTGTATCACGTTTCGTATAAGAAATTACTAGTTTTTGCTGACTATTTATTACCAGACAAGATATCAGTCGAAATCTGATTCTTTTGTATGATGGTTTTCATTTGAAGAGAGAAAAAAATCCCATAATGAATACATAATTTATCAGTAGTGATGAAAATTATGCTCATCACAACTTTTAGGGTTTTGTACCTTCTATGTGCACCTCTTCGATGTTTGTTTTTGTAATACATTACTATAATAAGGGTATTTTATGAGGACTTCTGGAATTTATCTTAATTCAGCTAAAAAGAATACATGATGGTCATACATATTAATATTATAATATTAATATTAATGTAGTCATATAAGACGTAACTTATCCCTCAAGTATCGTAGGCAAGACAACAATTTATCTTCACTTAACTGTGGAGGATGCTGTGCAGACAGTTGGTAGTTGCACAACCTACTTATATTAGTTCTTCCTTATGTCTGTTAATATTAACTCCAGTGTTGACTCCCCTGAATGGTAAACAATGCGCTTTACATAATATGTTACTACTGTAAACACGCGGGGACATAACGCGCCAGGTCAGGCATTCGAGTGGAACCCAGATGGGAAACGACAAGTTGGGCGTCCCAGCTGAGGATGACATGGAGGAGATTGTGTGAGGAAGAAATGAGAGCTTGTGGGCTGTCGTGAAGCCAGATTCAAAAGATTGCAGAGAAGAAAGTGAAATGGAGATGTGCAACTGAAGCCGTATGTTCTACTATGAACCCATGGGACAAATAAAAATATAATAATACTGTAAACTCGAGTAGTAGTATATTTCACTGGTTCGTGACACTTTCATATCACAGACCACACATACATCTTGACTGGATGGTTGGTTTCCAACAGAAACTAAGTTGACACTAATTTTCGGTAGTTGAAGAACTAACGACTCAGCCGTCAGAAAGGTCAACATAGAGGGCGCAATTTGCAGATCATTTGCAAATTGATCAGTGTGCTTGACCACAGGCAAAACTCATCAATGTTAGCTGACCTGCAGTACAGTCAGATCAGATAGTTTGTTGAGGAATTAGAACAGTTACAAAACGCATGGATGGAATAATCTTATGATTCTACTAAAGAGTCTAGTTACAAACCTTACCATTTTGAGTAACCCCTCAATTATAATGCATGCTACTCAACTCACCCAGGTTATTGAAAACATTCGTCTGCAGTATTTAAAACTGTCGAGATAATATTGTCAAACAACCGCTTTGAGGTGAAATAATTCCACTTAGGTATATGGTTGGGAAGTAAAATATTTCGCTGGCTTTAGAAGGTACGGTGGCAGTGATTAAGTCACCCTGTCTTTAATAGCACTAAAAAATTTGTCTTTCTAAAAGAAATTTGTTATAAAGAGGTAGTATTCATCACGGACTGACATCAATTGGGGAACCATTAGGAATCTGGGAGCACTGACAGTTGCTTCATCCTAGTATGGGACTCCTCAGCAGTACGAACTCAATACCCGTCTATAGATGGAACTCAGGACCTTCAGGTTTCACGGCGAACGCGTTAACCACTCAGCCACTGGGTTGACTCTCGGTGGTTCAAAATTTCCAACTCCTGTCAATTCATGACATAGCGTGACTGTTGCCTAAGGTCTTCAGTTGACATCCGCTTCCATTCCGACTGGTTGACCCCATAGGTCACGGCTTCTCATGAGAGCTTCGTGATATCCATCTGGAAGCATATCACTAATGAGAACTGTTCGGCAATGTAATTTTGAGATGCATTAGAATTTTTAATTTAGAGGTAGCATTCATCATGGGATGACGTCAGTTGGGGAACCATTGGAAATCTGGGAGCACTGAACAGCTGTTTCGTCCTAGCATGATACTCCTCATAGTGCCCACCGCGACCCTGCTAGGTATCGAACTTAACTGATGTCAGTCCGTGATGAATACTACCTCTAAATTAAAAATCCCCATTCATTTAAAAGATAAATTAATTATGTGTTTATTCACATATACATTAGCCACAATCAACCTGTTGTACACTATGAATGGAAGAAATCAAACATTTTCATATGCCTAATAGTTAATACCTTCGAGGAGTTGATCAGGGTTAATTACCTACTGGTTATATTGACTCTTCAGTTGTTCGCCTTTATGACACTGTGGACTGATTCAATGAGGAATGAAGTTATCAATAATCAGAAGTAAGCTGGAAAAAGCAACATCCCTTCTAATTTTATAAATATCATATTGAAATATTTTGTAAACGTTTTTCAAACTTCATGCTGTTAAATACAACAGGCTATACACTTTAATATACAATGCTTCCATTCATTTCTGTACTTGCCTCCTTTAGAGTTTCACCGCTTATCTTTTTTTCAAATCATTTCTATTCAACTTTACTCTGTTTCTTCTTCACTTTTCCCTGTTCTAATCAAATTGAAACATCTATGATTTTTTTAGTGTTCATTTGTACCGATTTCTCAATGGAACAAGGTGAGGTGACTTAAAAAAACTAAACTGTATTAGACATTTTATGAAACTTGAAGTCAACTACTTTATACAACCAATTTGACATTGAATTCATTTTTAGCGCCTTTTTGGCTAAAGTAAATTTCATACCTACTCAAGATTCATATCAAAAAAGTTTATCGATAAATGATGTCCACGACTATAATCCTAGATTCTTTTGAAGAGAGGAAAAACCATCATCGGCGTTGTGACGATGGTATTGAATCTAGGGTTTTTAGTTAAGCGGTATATAAATTATGTGAGTCGACTTCAACTTCCGTTACAAGGTAAACTTACCTCCTTGTTGACAATTTATTTCAGCATACACGTTTCCAATTATCAGCGTTATTTTCAAATATGATAACCCTGTAAAATTTCGAATCAGACAAATTGGAGAGAAATGAGTTGACATTGAATCTTTGTTGAGACATTATTATTATTTGTCCCTTGGGTTCCTAGTGGAACATTCGGCTCCAGTTGCACGTCTCCATTTCACTCTCTTCTCTGCAGTTTCGTTACCTGGCTCCACCATCGCCCACAAGCTTTCATTTCCTTCTCACATGATCTCCTCCATGTCACGCTCGCCTCGAACGCCCAACTTGTTTCCCATCTGTGTTCCACTTGAGAACCTGATGCGTGACGTCCTCAAATGTTCTTATCAGTGTATGCCCAATTGATCACTTTTTTCGAGATATTTGTTAGGTATTGGATTCTTGGTTGGTCCATCCCAGAGTTCCTCCTTGCTTATTCTTATTTTTCTCACCATCTGATCTCATCTTCAGTATCAAGTGAGTGTGGGCGGCAGCCGTTGATGAATGTCTGTAGTTTGTTGGAAATGCTTTTCGTAATGTCACAAGTCTCTCATCCATCACACAGAAGCACTGACTGACTTGACTGAATTAGTGTTGGGAATCCGGATGTTGTTCACGTACGCCTCATGCTGAGTGGAGTGGAGTGGAGTGGAGTTCAGTTGATCTGTACACTGATTATTTCAGATTGATGAAGGAAGGTCTGTCTTGGTGTTTTTCCAATCCTGGCTGCTGTGGCATCCTGATCTGTGTCTGTGCCACCTGTAGTTGAGACGATGCTGCCTAGGTAAGCAGGTAAGTGAAAGAGACAACTTCCTTTAGGTTTCTCTCGTTGATGATGATTGGTGCTTGTTGTTGTTGGTTGAGTATCTTTATTGAGACATTTAGGCATAAAATTACAACTAGAAAAACATTGAAATCTGTCATTAAGAATTAACTTACTTCTGGAATAATTCAAATTATACTGATAGCACCATCCATGTGACGTGAATATTGGAACAAAATCCACAGTTGAACATTGATCATCACCATATTGGCAACTGGAAATCAATAATTGAATAAAGATAATGCAATTCGTTAACACAAATTGAATGTATTTCAGGTTCGTATTCATAACGGGCTGATATCAGCTGGTGAAATATTGGAAACCTGAGAGCACTGGTGGGTGGCTTCGTTCCATTACGGGACTCCTTAGCAGTGCACACCCGTGATCCCGCTCCACCAAGAATTGAACTCAAGATCTTCAGGTTTCGTGAACAACATGTTACTATTGAACCACTGGGATAGAGTCCAGTGGTTCACGTAGTGTGACCCTCACTCTGGATTCCATTCCTGAGTAAAGGGTCATGAGTGCGCACTGCTGGAAAGTTCCATCCTAGGATGAAGTAGTTGCTCGGTGCTGTTAGGTTTCCAACTTTCCTCCAACTGATGTTATTTCATGATGAATACCAACGTGAAATCAATAAATAAATCTCTGTACAAACCTTTAAAATTAAAATACTGATTGTCAATTGGAAAACAATAATTCAACAAATAATCAAATGTTCATATGTTTACCTTTCAAAGTATTATCAAATATGTATATTAAGTAATGATTGGAGGTGAAATGCAAATTTGAACTGCTGCCGAAGTCGTACCAGCAACCACCGGGTAACCAGCCCCCGGTTCCATATCAACTGAACTATGAGGTCCGACTGCTGACCAGATATAAATACTACCAGTATAAATGCTAGTCTGCCAAAACCATAGCTATCTCTGATAGTCAAATGATATTAAGTATGTAACAATCAGTTTGAAACCAATTTGCCTCATTAACGCCTTGTAAAAGCGATCAAAAGGGGAGTGTAAATTTTCGTAGTGAGACAGTGTTTACTGTCTTCATTTACCAATGACTGATTCAAACATAAGTACTTTTTAGCGATGTTTCGTTGCTATAATTAGTCTGCTTTTAATGTTTGTTAAATGAATTGAAACACATTTTCTGAAGCCATACTGAGATAAATCCATTTCAGGAGATGATTTTGCTAATTTATTGGTATGACTTGTTCGAAATGATTACTCAGCCTACTTGTTATTTGACTTTTCGCCTTGTGTGCTAATTTTCTTCATTTCCTTAATAATCATAGTAAAATCCAAGCTTGAAATAATCAGATATTGTACAGGTATGATGATCCTGATTGGTTCAGAATTCGAACCACAAGTATCCCAGTTATTTACCGAAAGATTGACTGATTAAGATACGGCAACCAGCTACTAATTATATCTCAGCATTGCTGCAGTAACCGTAAATTGGAACTTCATGGTCTTCGTCATGATTGCTGCAAGTCAGGAACAGTCTGCTATTATTATTATTTGTCCTTGGGTTCCTAGTGGAACATACGGCTTCAGTTGCACGTCACCATTTCACTCTCTTCTCTATAGTCTTTTCAACCTGACTCCACCACTGCCCATAACCTTCCATTTCTTCCTCACACGGTCACCACCATGTCATCCTCGTCTCGAACGCCAAACTCGTTGTTCCCCATTTGGCTGCCACTCGACGGCCTGGTCCGACGCATGATAACCCGGGCGGTCTTCTCCGTATATGTCCAATCCAGTCGATCTTCACTTTCACTTCTGCATGTTCCTTAGGGATGGGTAGTAGGTTGGTTTGTTGCCAGCCAGCCAGCCAGCCAGCCAGCCAGCCAGCCAGCCAGCCAGCGCCAGCCAGCCAGCCAGCTAGAGTTCCTCCTTGCTTATTCTTAGTTTTCTGACCATCTGATCTCCATCTTCAGTATCAAGTGAGTGTGGGCGGCAGCCGTTGATGAATGTCTGTAGTTTAATGGAAATGCTTTCTCTCATCCATCACACAGAAGCACTGACTGACTTGACTGAATTAGTGTTGGGAATCCGGATGTTGTTCACGCACGCCTCATGCTGAGTGGAGTGGAGTGGAGTGGAGTGCAGTTGATCTCCACACTGATTATTTCAGATTGATGAAGGAAGGTCTGTCTTGGTGTCTTTCCAATCCTGGCTGCTGTGGCATCCTGATCTGTGTCTGTGCCACCTGTATTTGAGATGATGCTGCCTAGGTAAGTAGGTAAGTGAAAGAGACAACTTCCTTTAGGTTTCTCTCGTTGATGATGATTGGTGCTTGTTGTTATTGTTGTTGTTGTTGATGTGGCATCCTCATCACCTGTGTCTACTCCATGTTCACCTAAGGGAGTCCCGTCTTCGCTGCTCTGTCTCCTCTGCCAACTTGTTATTTCTGCCTGTAGATCTTCGAGTTTGTGCGACAAGACATTACACGCAAATCATGATCGGTGAAATCGAATTCTTCTGGGGTCTTTTCATCGGTCCAACCAGCGTATGCCCATCTTCTCGCTCGTCACAGTTGTCTGTTGCATGATCTAGTCGAGTCAAGTCGAGTCGACCACAATGAGTAAGATGATCGGTAGTAGTAAGTGGCAACCTCATTTTACTCCTATCTTCACTTCAAAGTCATCAGTGAGCTTCAATGTGAATCACTTGGCATGTAGCGTCATCATTTGAGTATGCGTGTCACTTCTGTCAACTACGCGATGATGCTTCAAAGTAAATGAATGGTCTGTACCTACTCTCAGTTTAAGGATTGGCAGCGGAGTCACTGAATGTATCGACCACTTTACTTACTTGGAGAGTTTGGTCAGGTCAAACGGATTGGTTTATCACAAAATTCCGGCTGCAATGCACAGGTCTCGTTTGGCATTCATCAACTTGAATCATCTCTGGCAGTAACCGGCAATATATATGACTATCTATCAAAGGACCAGTTTACTGTGCTGTATTCTCTTTTGTCATGTTATGCAGCGGAGACATGGCCGTTAAAAGTATATGGCATGGTACGGTTACAGGCTGTTCACCTTAGGTGTCTTCACCACATTACCTACGTATGGTGAAATCATCATGAGAACAGGGTAGAGGTCTGTTGGAGGTAACTAGGTAGGGAAGGCAAGGCAGTCGATGACGCTGTGAATCTACAACCACTTGAGTGGCTTGTTGGAAATGTGTTGGGCATGACGTTCCAACACCTTCCTCGATGTGCGATGATACGGAAAGTTGGATTGGGTCAGAAAAAGGCTCAAGATGACCAAATCAAGACATGGCACTAGTGAGTGAAGTCCCTGACTGTTGATCTTAGCCAGGTAGGGAGGCTTAGACTATCTGATTTGGGTCTTCAGGATCATAGGAATCAGCGGTTGTGGATTCTAAGTGTAACAGCTGAAAATAGGTCAAAATAGTGCCAATGTTCCCACTCTTTGGTGTTTTGTAAAACTTGAATGTTTTGATTAGCCTTCGGTTTCCAGTCGTTTCGCTTCTTCATGTTTTTCTACTTTGATATCAGTCCTTTCTACTCACTTTACGTTTTTATACTACTGTGAAGTGTGGTAACGTGAACCAATGCATTTATGTGCAAGGTTGTAGGTTGATTTTTTCTTTCTGTCTGTTTGTGTTTCTATCTGTGTCCGTGATATTGGAGAGATCTTTGTGCTGGGTGGTGGTTGTAGGTGAAATGAAAATTTTAACCACAGCCGGATTCGAACCAGTAACCCCTGGGTTTCTGGTCTGATGCTCTACCAACTGAGTTAGGTGTTCCAAAAGAACTTCATTCTCCTTTAAACTGCAATCCAAGTCGTCAGCAGCCAAACTGAATTCTGGCTCACTTGAGATAATTGGTAGAAGAGAGCCTCGTGAAGAACTGTGATATACAGCAAGAACACATTAACTGATTGGTAGACTCGATATATTTTATTGAAATGGATCAAAGTTGTCTATGCTGACTGCTGTAATGAACATTGTGAATTCTAATCTTCAAAGAAGACTTCTTGGAGGTTGGTGGAATACTTTTTTAGATGAGTGTGGGTGGGTTTACCATAATTGTCCAACACTATACTTCACCTTCGAAATTAATGAAATATATACACAGCTTAACAATAACAGGAAATTTTTGAACTTAGCTATTAACAGTACTCTAATATGCGATAGGTTGCTAGAAGTTACTAGAAGTAGCCTGCTTCACCTATCTAGACAGCACTGGTTCAACTACAGGTGGCACAGAGTGGACGTCAGAGCCAGAATTTGAAAAGCAAGACAGGCGTTCATTAACCTGAAACCAGTGTGGAAATCTTCTGCAGTCAGCATGTGGAACAAGATGAGGATTTTCAACACCAACGTCAAGTCAGTGCTTCTATATGGTTGAGAGACTTGCCACGTACGAAAGGCATTCCAAACAAACTACAGACATTCACCAACAACTGGTTACGCCAGCTCGATACTGAAGATGGAGATCAGATGGCCAGAATAATGAGAATAAGCAAGGAGGAACTCTGGCTGGCTGGTAACGAACCAACCAAGAACCTATCTCTGAACAGATATGCAGTAGAAGTAAGTGGAGATGGATTGGGCATGCATGAGAAGGCCGACTGGGGACATCACACTCCAGGCCAGGCCATCGAGTGGAACTCCGATGGGAAACAACTAGTTAGGCGTATTGGATGAGGGTGACATGGAGGAGATGTTGTGAGGAAGAAGTGAGAGCTTGTGGTCTGTGGTGGAGTCAGGTTGAAAAGATTGCAGAGAGCAGAGTGGAATGGAGGTGTGCTACTGAATCCTTATGTTCCATTAGGAACCAAGGGACAAATAATAGTAATAATAATACCAGAAAAACTGGCTGTCTAGATGAAACGGAGCTCGTAAACCTGTGGTGGTGGTAGTAGTAGTGTTAGTACTAATGTTAGTAGTAGTAGTAGTAGTAGTAGTAGTAGTAGTAGTAGTAGTAGTAGTGGTAGTAGTGTATTTGAAAACCAAGTCCTTAGACCACTTCAACGCCACTTTTCTACAAGACACATACTCACTCGCTGATATTCATATCAGAGACTTGGAATGGCTCATCACATAACACACGATGTAGGTGTGATTAGAATTCTAAAAAGTCGAGTTTAAAAGCATCAGCAGGATTGTAATCGACTTTGGATGATGTTTTTTTCACAGTAGTTAACAATTAAATCTTTGAAATGAATTT